ATTACACATGAGGGCAGGAAGATATATGTACATTAAGTGCGTCCCCGTGCTCTGGTTACTCTAGGTGTACTGTCTACTGGCATTTGCAACTTACTCCGGGTCGTCCTCGTGGATGGTTCAACAGTGACTCGAGTGCCCCTCCTCCTTTTCTGTGCTGGCGGTGTGATACTCTCTTCCATTTTGACATCATCTCTAACCTCGCCTGTCGCATTGTCAGTTAACCCAGCGAGGAGGTCACCCAATCATGATGTCAGTAATGCACCTTTTTTGGCCGGCTTGGCCGGGCGAGGCTTTGGAATTGAACGTGGGACTGCCGGCCCTCTGGGTGTAGGACCTCCTGTCCTGGGCTTCTTCAGCGGAGGTCTCCCGTCAGCCAGGTCATCATCCACATTATGCTCCGTATGATGAGTGGCACTCTCCTTATCACTCTCGGCTTCTGTCGATGACTCCCGAGGCCTTCGGATGGTAACCCTCTGTTGCCTTCTCACTATACGAGTCTGAGGAGAGGGCGAGTTGCCAGATATGACAGATGGTACCATGTCCCCATCTTTGTTCTTCCATGCTTTGAACAGAAATGTGGGCCCTTCGCCTGTTTCTTGCCGAGCGAGCCAAAACTGGAGCAAGGTAGTGGTGTCCCAAATTTGCAGCTTCGAAGGTTCCTTCAAGTCAACATCCGCCGGAAGATACATCCGGGCCACGAAGTCATCCTGACTTTGTACAATGGCACTCCATGGCACAACTGCCTTGTCCTTCCCGGAGCATATCCCTTTGTCCATGCATTGAACAATTTGTCAGGTGATGCGACGACAAACTCACGATAGTGCGATGTAAGAAAGGCCCTTACTATGGCCTTCTTCTCCTCAAGTTTGATGTCGGTGATGTCCAGAAGGAGTGGCATACCCTCCCCATCCATTTCGAGTTTGAAGGCTGGTTTTCGAATTCGTTTTCGACCTCCCTTGACCTGACGTCCTCCATCCCATGCCCTGGTGCCTATCATTGTGATGCTCAATATGTTCAATCTGGTATACATGGTTCACACACTCACCGAACTGTTCCTGTGCGTACTCCTGCCACACTGGCTCAATGTCCTCCCAGTCCTTCGTCTTCATGAAGCTGTCCCCATCTCCTAAGGCCTCATTATCATCATGCCTGCATGAATATTTTGAGACGAAAAATCTCCGTCGATGGATAAATGTACTCACATCCCGAACAGCACCTCGCCCTTTTCATCCTTCCAAGCCGACATCACAAACACTCTCATCCCACATTGCCTCCACATCTCGTTCGAAAAGTGCTCCATATATGCCGGACCCTTCTTACGAGCAACTTGTGCTTGTATCTCCGGAGGCGGACAGTTGTTGGACCACTCTTCGGCTGTTTCTTTAGCCTTCTCCAACTCGTCGTCGTCCAATTCAGCCATGACTCTCTTCACCGCCGCCTGATAATGTTTGAACATACCAGGATCTCCTGGCTTTACCCCGGACTCATCCTCAATCCTCTTCAGCACCTCTTCGCATTTTTGCTGGTAGACCACCATCCTGGGCGTCCATTTCCTCCCATACTTGATCATGTCCTTCCTTTCCTTCTTTTTCTTGTTGTTGAACAACCAAGTCTTGTACACCTAAGAGTTGATGAAAGAATGTGACATTAAAAATTTAGTTTTTCAACACAACAAAGAAGCCTCACCTGCTTCCTCTTTTTCCATTGTTTTTGGTCCAACTTCGGAGCAAACAACCTGGCCGCCCTTGCTATGGCAGTGAAAATCACTCGCTTCTCACTCCTTTTGGCAGCAGTCCACTCAGGAAGGTAGTTCTTCAACTCCAAAATCTCCTTGTCCGTGAGCTTCTGAGACTGTGGTTGATGCATCCTGTGTCTTCCGGAAGTTGTGTTGGTGGAATGACCTGTTCTTGCCATAGTGAATCAGAATGCAGAAATGGCTAAGGATTTTCAAGGTGAAAGTATTAATGAATTGTGCGAAGTTGAACTTTGAGCAAAGCCTAATGATAGGTTAATCGGCCCATATTGGACCCTGAGCCATTAATGGAAATGAATTTGTAATAAGCCAACAGGACTGCACCGCATCATATTGCAATAACAATTCATTACACCTGAGCTGATGCCTTGCTTGCAACATTAATAAACAAGATGAAGATAGGTAGATGCACCCCAGTGCAAAAATCTCACAGGGTGGAAGCAAGGGGCAGCAAAGGTAGGAAGACTTGGGTCAAGGTCCCACTTGCAAGCATGAGGCGACATGCCTACAGGTCCATGCCTAACTCTCCCCCAGAATCACCAACAATTCAGCCTGTTGAGGCACCACCTCCTTGGGAAGACTTTCCTGACAATACTTATGAGCAGGACCAAGGCTCATTTGAGCCTTTGCAACTCCCAAAAACCATGGCAAGTTCATGTACAATGTTGGAGTGTCATTCAAACTATGGCTAAGCATTCAAAATACAGAGTCAAAATGACTACCTCAGGCAATGGCTGCCAAGGCAGGAATCATATCTACATCATCTGCCAACAGGATGGGGTGTACAAATGTCAAGATTGTCTTGGCGAGCCACTTTATTGCACGGGCTGTTGCAGGAGTCAACATCGTAGCAATCCTTTCCACTGGATCAGTCAATGTAATGGGCGATTCTTCGAGCGGAGTTGTCTAGCTCATGTGGGACTCATTATATACCTTGGCCATGATGGCAAACAATGTCCGGCGGTCACTGATCGGTGGAATTTGTTTGAAGAAGATGAACCCGAAGACCTGCTCGAGCCTGAAGATCTGCCATTTGTGTCCGGACCCGAGTTCCAGCCAAAGGAAAACACCATGGTCATCATAGACAAGTCCGGAGTTCATCGCCTGGAGGTTCAATGCTGTGAATGTCTGAATGCCATGAGTCCGGACATTCAAATGTTTCGACATGGATTTTTCCCTGCATCTTTTAACAGGCCAAAGACTGTGTTCACCTTCAGAGTGCTCAATGATTTTCTACTGGACAGCCTTGAATGCGGCACCTCGGCAATGAACTATTACAGCAAGCTCCAGCGAATGACCTCCAGCATGTTTCCACACCTTGTTCCGGTAATGCCTTACCCTCATGATCTACTGGACATCATATTGACAAAGCACATTGCAAGGACCGATACAGAGAGCTCATGAGGGTTGCTCGACAGTGGAGGCAGTTGAAGACAATGAAATGGCATGGCTTTGGCCATTGTTCTGATAACCCGAGCACAGGAGAACTTGCATTATTTTGCCCGGCATGTCCTCAGCCTGGGATTAATGTGCTGTTGTCAGAGGATGAATCTCTTGATGAGTGAGTCCTATTCTCAACCTATGTGGCCTCCATAATAATACTAGGGATCCAAGCTGGAAATACACCTGGTCATTTGTGATGGACGGAAATTTCAAAGCCAAACATCTGCATCCCATTAAGCCATTCGATGAAGTTTGGCTGTCCGATGGGCTTGGATTCATGGTAGGAAAGGACAGGTATAAAATGCATCTGGCAGAGGCTGCTGACACAGTGGAAAAATCAAGCTGCAACAATCACCGGGCAGTAAATCAAGCTAATGCTGCTCGGCACAAGCTGGAGTCCACCGGTATCGGGGGAGTTGCCTGTGCCAGACATGGTTGCTTTGTCCCTCACTCCATGGTGGATTTTCAGAAAGGCGAAAGGCAAGCCACATCCACCATTCCCCATTCACAAGTTAACCATGGGTCACTTGCAGACAAATGAACATGGACTATGCCCTTTGCGAGGCTTCCCAGCACAACATGGAAGGCATCACCAGGGCTGTCACCTTCTATGATATTAATTGTCAATACAACAAACACTTTCGGGTTCGGGTGGATCGAAGTTGATTTCTAGAAATGGCACCACAACTAACCATCATTCCCGGAATTGGGTTATGGCACATTCATGGCCATCAGGACAGCTGCTATGTCCGATATGCTTCTAACTTTATTGAAGGCATTGGTCGGATTGATGGAGAGATCATGGAGACGCTATGGGCATGGCTCAATTTGATCTCCCCTGCTGCTCGGGGAATGTCATCTCCCCACCGAAAGGAATGCCTTGATTATCAGATGAATGACTCCAATTTCTGCAAGATGATTCGCATGAAAAGGACTCTATGCCGGAAATACAAACTGGCTAGGAATGGTATCTTAGAAAGTGGAAAGGCATTCGACAGACTCGATGAAGCAGCACCCTTACATTTGAAGACAGAATGGTTAGCCAGGGAGAGGATAGCTCAGTCAAGCAGATTGAATGATCCTTCAGCCATGGATGAATATGAGATCAATATCAAAAAGGGTACGTTGAGTTCCATTGTCTCCATCGAGGTCTGAATTAATATTGCACTCAGCACCTAGCAAAAAGGAGATCGAGCTTAGATTGTTAGAGGAGGGTAATGCCCGCAATGCAGCACCCTCTTGCAGATCTGTGGCAACATGGATATCAACAGGGTTAGCAATTGAAGAGGCTCAGATTGCATTGCTCATCGAGGTCCGAAGGATCGGAAGAAGATCCACCAAGACACAGAGATTAGACATCGCCCGTCAAAGAGATCGGCTCCAAGGCCAGATAGATGGATTTGCTCGGTCTGCTCTAACACATCTCGGGGAGGGATTTGATGCAGATGATGAACCTGAAGACTTGGACGTAGACATTCTAGATGATCTCGATGATGACCCGGCGGATTTCACAGAGACATCTCACACATGGACAAACTCTCCCGAGCTAACTGTAATCCCATTGCCATCAAACCTGGGGGTTGAAAGATGCAGACAATGCATGGCAGAGGATCTGATTCCCCTGGAGATGTCACTTCGTGAAGGGCAGGCCAATGATGCCCTTCACAATCTCCGCATTTACCTTTGCAACAAGGCCATCCTGTTCCGAACAACCGTTAGGCAGGCCAATTCCCAGGCCCTGAAAACTCGAGCTTGGTCCCAGGTGATGTCGGTGCAGCAGGCAGTCTCCCTCCATGCCAGCATATATACAAAGACAAGGAAGCAAATGATGAAACTTGAGCTGGGGCAAGACCAGCTTCAGAAATACAAACCCCTGCTTCGTGAGCAACTCAAAATCAGCACTGCAGTGGGCGACCCAAATGCCCGAGGTCAACGAAATGAATCTTTGGCTTGGTTTTGGTCTGTTGAAGTTGACCTCGGGGGTCCTGATCAATCGTGGAATGAAGAATGTGAGTTCCCGCTTGCATGTCATATCCTGCGGTTACCTGACTGGACCCATGCCAAGTTTACCGAGTCCATTGGCTGAGGGCAAAGGCACTACGGGATCGATGGAGGGAAGAAATGCTATTGGTCACATTGGAGATGGATTGGACATGTAAGTTCTTTTTGTGGAAAACAACCGGGGCGAGCACATGCAGGAATCATTGGAGAAACGACTTCCGGGTCATGGATGCTATGCCAGAAGGCAATCCCACATGTATTCATTGCTGGCACAGGATGCGCAGGCAGCTTTTCAAGACCTACAAAATGTGTTGATAGAGGCTGGAGATGAATGAACATTGTTTTCTCATGAAGTCCCTTTGTCCACATACATAATTGACGCCCGGGAATTGTCCGGGTCAGCCCATGTCGGAGTTTGAATTTCGTATCCATCCATCAGTGATTCTTATCTTCACATCTTGACCATCTTTCACTTGTATTGCCAGCGCCATAGTCCTGTATTAGCCATGTCTACATCTCATGCATCCACTTCTGGCACTCTGAATCCCGGAAGCCATTACCGACCTCTGAAGCTGAGCCTTGCAACTATTTCCTGCACATTGGAAATGGCTGGATCGCGCGTCCGTGCAATCATCTCTCAATATCGGACGGAAGCTGCCAACAATGGTCTATCTGCTGACCGGATCAAGTATTTTAAAGCCAGGCTGCAATGGGAGATGAATGTATGTCACCACTGCCCTGATGACTTTGTTGGTCAATGCTAAGAATTTGAGTAGACATTTGTCACACCACTCCTGCAGTACTCTGCTTCACAGAATATCGTGTCGGTTCTTCCGGTCCCTGTCGCTTATATCCTTAAGTTGTATCCCATGCTGACCTGGAACACTGTTCCGGATGACGTCTTTTCATTCCACCTCCTTTCATTTCATGATGAGCCAATTGCAGGACATCCGTCCCGGATTGTGTTCGCATATACATGTCCATGGTGGATGGGAAACACCACAATCCCTGATCAACCATGGCAGTGGGATGAAATAATGGCTTCCTGCATCTCTCACTACCAGTATTGGGCGGTAAGATGTCAGCTGAATTACCTTGATTGATGACTTATCTGTTTCAGCTTAATGTTGAGGATGATGCTTTGGTACTTCCAGAGAAGTTGAAAAACACTTCGACTCCACCACTCATGGGACTGAGATTCATCAAAGAACACATGGAAGCATTGCTGGAGGAGCAAGATCAGGGCATCGAAGCTAAGATGGGAGAGGTGAAGATGTACACTGACTTGTCAGAGAAATTGAGGAAAGGCAAAGGAGTGTAGTCCCATTCACTCTTCATTGTATACAAGATGTAACATATTCTATGCATTCAAAAATCTCACATTCGAGTCCCGGACGCCCAGGTCCCGAGTCCTGAATTTCGGAGGTCAGGGTTTGGAGACCCGGAGCTCGGCAACTGTGTTGGGTGTCAGGGTATCCAGACCATTGGAGATAGCATGTGTCAGTATTTTGTGTTTCATGGTTTATGTTGGGTGAATATGGAATCGGGGATCAGGGACTCGGTATTCAGAACAGTGTCAAGTCCCAGGTCACGAGCTCCGAGTGCCGAGTGCCGAACCCCGAGTCCCGAGTCCCGAATTTCGGAGGTCGGGGTTCGGCGACCCAGAGCTCGGCAACTGCTGGGTGTGGGTTTCGGGACTCGGGACTCGGAGCTCATGACCTGGGACTCAACACTGTTCTGAATACCGAGTCCCTGACACCTGATTCCATAATCACGAAACATAAACCATGAAACTTAAAATACTGACAAATGCTATCTCCAATGCTCCGAGTACCCTGACACCCAACACAGTTGCCGAGCTCCGGGTCGCCGAACCCCGACCTCCGAAATTCGGGACTCGGGACTCGGGGTTCGGCACTCGGCACTCGGAGCTCGTGACCTGGGACTTGACACTGTTCTGAATACCGAGTCCCTGATCCCCGATTCCATATTCACCCAACATAAACCATGAAACACAAAATACTGACACATGCTATCTCCAATGGTCTGGATACCCTGACACCCAACACAGTTGCCGAGCTCCGGGTCTCCGACCTCCGACCTCCGAAATTCGGGACTCGGGACCTGGGCGTCCGGAACTCGGTATTCAGAACAGTGTCGAGTCCGGAGTCCACAATGTCGGGGTTCAGGGTTTTGTTAAATGTGTATGGCAATAACAAATGTTAATTCGAGCGTATTTATACATCTTCCCCCAGTCTCAAATATCACGTGCTGAGGTCCGGGTGTCGGGACTAAGTACCCCGGCACTCAGGACTCCCATATGTCAAGTCCCAAGTTCCAATTATCGAATACCGAGGCTTGCATCCAAATTATTTAGTCCCACATATCACTTGGGAAATGCTCAAAATTGAGTATTGAGGTCCGGATCACAATTGGTACATGGTATTCATTTGTTGGAATGTATATAGGTCACAATGCTTGCTCTTTGTTTGATCTTTCACACGCTGTATGGACCATCCACACTAGCCCATCCACATGATGGAACACCAGCATAAATATGAACAGCATCCCTCATATACCATGCCCAAGCAATCCGATCCCCTTCCACATCATACACTCCATGTCTCACAATCTTTCCGGAAAACGCAATCATACAGCCGGAATTGTACTTGAACTCCAGCTGAAGGTTTGGCATTGTCATCCGAGCATTAGAATAGTCCCCCACGGTGGTGAGAATGTCGAAGCATTCAGCAATGGACATGTGGTCTCGATGATGGGGGGTTTCCCGATTGGAAATGATGGAGAGGGTGTTAAACACGGATGCCCAGTACTGCAGGGCCTCCGGCATCTGTGGCAGATCCTTGCTTACTGCTATATTTCCAAGGTTTGACAAGGTTCTCAACCCTGCCCAGTACTGCTCAGGATGCATGATTCTGAGTGCCGCGGACACGATGGCTGCTGGCCTTGCAATGGCTTTGAGGATATTCTCGCAGGAAGGTCCCTTCAATGATGCAGATACCTCCGGATCGGACACATTCTTTGGGATTGGTAAGTATGATTGCCGGAATCACCATCTCATCAGATCCTACCTCGTGTCCCTGTTGAAACCATGCCGGAGATAGATTGATGCATCCGGGAGTTGCTCCAACATCTTCCGAGCCCCGGTTGAACAACCTTTGATTAGTTCGCCAATTGCCATCAGCCCTTACACTTTTTTCGAGGCTTGGAGAGAGCAAATAGGTGGCCTCCCTGATTTCCTTCTGTAGGTTCCATTAATATTCGATATCCATCGAGTAACAATGTATATTACACACCTGGGTGGTGTCTGTCAGGGCGTCTGGGAGATACCATGCAATGATGGCACCGGATGCATCAAGAATTATTGCAGGTTCATCGACCAACCTTTTGCCTTCATGGCCAGGAGGACACCTCTCAAGCAACCTCGCCTCTTTATGTTCATTATGCCCGGTGTCCTTCGGGGAGATCAATTTGCTATATCTTGCAATATCCATCTGCATCTGAACTGTCATGCAGGAATTTGAATGATAAATAGAATTTTCCGAATCTGCAGGAAGACCCACTGGGATTTTTAGATGCCTTTATGAGTACATCAGCCAAGCGATCGCACGCCATCACCAGATCAGTGTCTAGGTTGGGGGAAGGTATGACTGGGCCTCCTCCAGTCTTCTCTGCCTTGAATTTCTGTTCAGTATATTCCCCTGCTTCATAAGTCACAGTCAGGGCCCAAGTGCGCCAGATGTTTATGCTATCAGGAGGGGAAGGGGAGGAACCGTTCATGCTGGATGTTAATCTTGGGAAATCAGACGCTGAATGCTGGATGTCCGGACTTTGGTGTTATAGGGGGTGGAGATAGAGAGGATCAGATAAGGGAGCCATGGATAATTTTGGCTGCTGTCAAAGATGTATTATTATCCATTGCTCAATGAAATACTACCTGATTGGAAGTGTGCTGGTCATCAGATATTCATTTGTCGACTCCTGGGTCCCAGTGTAGAGACTCGTGCGTCTCATGGTCTGATATGGCGCTTTACACTAGGAAGTACATAGCACGAACTTGTAGCGTCACTCTGTGCACTACCCACAGCTATCTCTATATGATGCGCAGCTTTCCCGCGCAATGCGCGCACCATTCCCGCGCTTCGCGATGTATACGCGCGCCCTATGGCGCCAGCCATCCAGAAGCATCTATCCACTGTCCACCAAGCTCCCTAGTACGTATATTTCCATTTCCTTTATTAGCATAGTTCCACCTTTATTTTTATCATGGATTCTCACTCATATATATCTTTACATACCTACTCGGTAGCGCTTCGGCTCCGCATGACCGCGCTTAGTACATACTATTACTTACCTTACTTTTACCTCCCATTTTACCTACTACTACTTACTTACTACTTAGCAGAACATAGTAGAAACCTATTCTTTTACATCTTGCGCTCTCACATCTCTTATCTTGTATCATATCATCACTTAAGCTTAGTTTTTATCATTATCCGCATATGTGCGCGCGCTTTCCCACGCTTCGCGCTAATACGCGCGCGTGTTCCCGCGCCTTGCGCGCACCTGCGCTTTCTCGCGCTTCACTTCTGCGCGTACCTCTAGATCTTTGCTGCACTCGCTTCCCCTATAGGGTCGAACGCACTTGCCATCTCAAGTATCGCAGACTAGGCAATGCGCGACCTTACAACTTTTATAGATACAGTCTGGAGCTATCTTTGCTCCTCACAGTATTGTTGTTTCTACACCGGTACTCGGAAGTCGGTACGGTTGACCCATATTTCGGTGGTCGGAATTTGGTGTCTCGTAGGGCAACACAAGCTTCGTACTGCCATATCAGGAGATCACCTGCTGCTCCGGGAACTCGGTAACTGTGATTTATTACCTCCTCTGAGTAAGGTTGACTCGCTGGTCATCAGATATTCATTTGTCGACTCCCGGGTCCCGGAACTCGGAGGTCGGTACAGTTGACCCATATTTGGGTGGTCGGAATTTGGAGTCTCGTAGGGCAACACAAGTTTCGCACAGCCATGTCAGGAGATCACCTGCTGCTCCGGGAACTCGGTAACTTTGATTTATTACCTCCTCTGAGTACGGTTGACTCACATTTTGGTGGTCGGAACTTGGCTTCTCGTAGGGCAACACAAGCTTCGCACCGCGGATTCCACATTCTGCAAGACAACCTAAGCACCATCAGAGGCCATGTCAAGAGAGCACCTGCTGCTCTCTTCAGAAACATCTGAACTTCGGTTGGCCATTTAACACGGAAAGTATTAACTAAATTATGTGTTGAGTTCCGGGTCCCGGAACTCGGAACTCAGAACTCGGTACAGTTGACTCCAATTCTGGTGGTCGGAACTTGGCTTCTTGTAGGGCAACACAAGCTTCGCACCCCGGATTCCACATTCTGCAAGACAACCTGTGCACCATCAAAAAGTATTAACCAACTTATGTGGTGAGTTCTGGGTCCCGGAACTCGGAACTCGGTACAGTTGACTCAAATTCTGGTGGCCGGAACTTGGCGTCTTGTTGGGCAACACAAGCTTCGCACTGCCATGTCAGGAGATCACCTGATGCTCCGGGAACTTGGTAACTTTGATTTATTACCTCCTCTGATTTGGTTGATGTACAACTACCTCAGCTCCATCATGTCTACAATTATGATACACATGGGCCCACCCATCTATATTGTATACCACCCTCGGCCCACCTGTCTAATACAACATCCCATACAACACCCTCGGCCCACCGGTCTAATTAATATGCGTCTGGGCCCACCCGTATAATACAATATTTTATAATACCCTCGGCCCACCCGTCTAATTTAATATGTGTCTGGGCCCACCCGTGAATGTGATAACAAGTACCTACCCATCTATCTCATACACATCTACCTTAATACACCCATCTGCATAATATCCAGCTACCTCGGCCCACCCGTCTACCTAATATTCATTTACATCAGCCCACTCATCTACTCTATATATTCCCTGCATGGGCCCACCCGCCTCCATCGGGAATAATTTGCCTCCCGGCCCATCCGTCATAGTCGAGAATATTTTTATCATGGGCCCATGGTCCGCTGGCCCGTATCATACGGGATATTATGCACGTCCGTTCCCTCGTATTATACGGAGATAGGTCACTGTAGTATGTGCTTGACCTATGTAAACTGCATCAGCAGCACTAACAGCGAGTCACTAAAGGAAACCGCACAATTGGCAGCCATCCCACCACATACCTGCCACCTGTACCTCGCCCGTTTCGAATTGCAGTCGGTAAGTTTGCTAAACGAGCATAGACCGGATACCCTTTTGCGGTACCGAAGGAGGAGAGTTTCGTCTTATCCATGTAGAGTATATATGCCAGTGGCTTCGCACCTGGAGGGAGTTGCGACTGCAAAGTAATGATACATTGAAATGAGGACACAATAAATAACTACAAAGTATCGTCACATACTTGCACATCCCAAATATCTCGCGCAGTGAAAGGCTCATCAACAAAAGAAACGAATGCATTACCATCAAACTTCGACAGGCAGTGCGCATCAAACGTGAAGTATGGGGATTCCGAAGCATATCGGCAGCCAACTCCCAAAGGTCTCGGTAATGTATGTCATATTTATGTAGTTCCTCATCTCCAGCGAACGGGATCGAGATCACTTCCTTTGTAAACTATACCTCATAATACTTTGTCAGACTCATTTAAAGTAGAAGTAGGATATATCACCTTCGTAATGCGGTGTGAGGCTGCCTCCCACATGTTGTGGATATCCTTGTGGTTTTTGAATGTGAACTTCTCCTTGCCCACAGCACAGCGGTGACATAGCTTGATGAACCGATCGGATTGTTGGTTGTTAAAGCCAACCTCGAGCATGATCTCGGCAATTTCGAATTCAAGCCGAGATTTGAACAGACGCCAAGGTTGGCCATCAGGTGGGGGGGCAAGGAATTCTGAGGCATGACGCTCAAAGCTATCAAAGCCGTATACCTTGGCCTCGATGCTGCTACTCGGATGATACTCGATCTTGATGTCGTCTTGATTGAAGGTGGGGACTGCAGCCACAACTTCCAGTTCATTAAGTGCAGAAGGGCCTGTATTGAATAGGGTACACGGCCCAAGTGTTAGTGAGATCAACGAAAACAATTAAGTGTTGACGACTCACCTGGACCGGTCACTGGATCATCATGACTGAAGTCCACATCGAGGAATTCTGCATGATTTTGTGTTTCAACTGTGAGTTTGTGAGCGCCGTAGATAGCATAACAAAAACAAAATACTATGACATACTTGGTACAGGGATGATACGAATAGCTGATTGAGGTTTGTCGAGTCTCGATGACGAATCCGACGCTGTATTTTGATACAATTAGCTTTGACAATACATTAAGACAAAGATAAAACAGACGCACCTTTCTCCTTGCAAATCGCATCTACAACCACCTGATCCCGCTGTCTTTTGGCTGCCTTCGTCTCGCAAGCTTTGCGGTGGGTGGTCCATCCTCATGGCTTGATATCCTGGTCGCATAAATTACAATACTTTGTGCGCTCTGGACCCATGTAGTTGACAGTATTGTACAGTGGTATGTAAACAGAGTTAAGGTGGGGAAATAGAGCAAGGAATGCGCTAGAACGCGAAGAGTGTACTGCAGGCGCTGATAACAGCTATGATCTAACGTTACAAAGGACTTGCAATATATTGAAACTCAGCCATCAGATTACCTTATCATTTCAGGAGGCATTTCAATTGATTTCAATGGCATGCAAACAGCGTGTCAACATCACGTCATTGCAACCACTTTCGGAAATTTCTGACAATGGCCGTTCAAAACATCGAGCGGAGTTTAAACACCACTCGGAGGTGCTTCTATCCAGGCCATTTTCCTGCGAGTGGCTATATTGGTGACACACCAGTGGTTTTGGAGTTTTGCACTATGCAAGATTTGTTTTGAAATGTTAGTGATAAAGTTGGCATTCTTACTATACATTTTGACGCAGTAAAAATGAAAAAATTGGATGAGTGGCCAAATCCTAGGCAAAATTCTACATTTTATGAATCATTTTGATGTTGTAAAAGAAAGACATTTAACCGACAGCAAGATCTGAAGAAAAATGATCGAACATTTTGATTCAAATCTTACATGGGGTGAGATTTGAGAAAAATTTGAAATAAAAATTTTAAAACACATTTTACCTGTTGGAAAGGAGTTTTACCCCAATGTAAGATTTGAATCAAAATGTTCGATCATTTTTCTTCAGATCTTGCTGTCGGTTAAATGTCTTTCTTTTACAACGTCAAAATGATTCATAAAATGTAGAATTTTGCCTAGGATTTGGCCACTCATCCAATTTTTTTCATTTTTACTGCGTCAAAATGTATAGTAAGAATGCCAACTTTATCACTAACATTTCAAAACAAATCTTGCATAGTGCAAAACTCCAAAACCGCCGGTGTGTGATGAAGAACTGGAGAAGCAGCGCTTCTAGAGTCACTAATGAAAACATACCTCTGAATTAGCGTCATCATTACCGACCTCCTTCCAGGTTAACGTTGATGCAGATGTATCACACTCCTGTATTCAAGGCGATAGCACGTCAAGAGAAGGCGGGTGTCCACGCGAGTAAATTCAAGTCGTTGTCTTCAGGTCTGCTCTGTTCCCATATTTAAAATTTAATGTCTAGCATGTCTGCGACACATTCCTTCATGTCCGAATTGAGTTTGCTATTTGCCATGATGGAAAGAAGTTTGCCGGATGGCGAATACCGAACACAGTTGACTGGACGAGATACTCCCCACTTCTCCATGCCAGATGATGATTCACCACCGCTTGCTATCAATTGCCCATCTCATGATACCACCAATGGCCGCACTTTATGGCAATTCCCCTCCATCTTCTTCAATATAATGCCTGTCGTCAAGTCCCACAGACGAAGTGTCCTGTCGTATGAGCCGGTGATCATTTGTTGTCCTTCAGGGGACATTACAACTGAGGTTGTGGCGCTTTCATGATCTTCCCTCAACTTTCGATTAGGAACGAGATCTGACATTTTACTGACGCCGTGTCGAACGTCGAGGTGGACTTCGCGGAGGGATTGTGGACACCACCAAGTTGCTCATCGACGTGGAATCATCCTAATGTGCATACTATGGATAATAAATTCTGTCGTCGGTGATTTTCAAACACCTAAGATACTCTAGGCGATGCTGGATACATTATGTTCGGACCTGTGGCTCGGGAAGTGCTTGCCTTCGGAACTGTTTCTTTCGCTGTGTTTGGTTCGGTGTGTCACCGAGTTAACTGGAATATTAATATGTCGCAATTGAATTATCTCAAACAGGGCTTTGGACTACTTTCCAGCCAGCAGGCACTGTCAACGCTTTCGAATCAGGGCATGTGTAGTATGTATCTGGTTATCATCACTGGCACCATTAATTGCTTTCTTAATTTCGCTACCGCGGACACTGGATCGTTTGGCATGGATGGATCTTCTTAGTGCAGCAGTCATTGCCATAGCTGGTTTCATTGCAATATTAATGATTGGAGCAGGGCTGAACCCAGTTCCCGGACTGTCGACCGTAACTGCCTCCAAATCCTGTGGGTACCTTCTTATGTCTTCGAGTAACTTGCGTTGCTTATCTGCTCATTAGGTTTTTGCATATGCAGGTACGGAATTTTGCGATGTTAATCAACATTCCTAAATACTTTACTAGGACACTTCATGTATGACTTTTTGGGCACAATATTCTGAAACTGACCTACGACAGGTTCTTTATTCTGGTATCTGAGATGTGTAAACCCGAGGACGCTCCTGTACTCGATGTTGTAACTGAAGGCCATTTTCAGGCAGCATGGTGTCTACAGGACTTCGCTACAGTATTCTATGTTGTTTTCAGCGGAGTCATGTATGTCTACATTGGAAACACAGTCCAGTCCCTGGTCCTCTTTTCTCTTCCTCTGGTATGGGCAAAGGCAGTGTTCGCCATTGCTCTCCCAAATTTTCTATTGTCAGTGATGCCTTGCTGTTTGGTCTAGTCCTCACTATTTCTCTATTCCGGGTTATACACTTATACAGCTACAAAGTTTGTGTTTGTTTGAATATTTCGTCATTCAGAGCACATCCATTCGCATACCTTACTCAGTTGGACGGTTTGGACTCTGCTGTGTTTTGCAGGCTCAGCTATGGCTGTAATTCTCGCCATCGCAGTTCTGATATTTTCCTACCTAATCGGCATCACGGAAGCCCTCTGCCGCATGGTACATGTACGGTTTGGCCAGATTCTTCTGGTTGCATGACGCATATCATCTCGAGGGTGGCATGGACGGGCTCAAACGATGACCAATCGGGACAACACTCGCAGTGTTGACTATAATTTCCGGCATTTTCATCTGTGTCGCTGGGACTTATGTGTCGATAAAGGTCAGTGTTCGTGTCTTCGCATCTGACACTCATCTAATTAATATTGATGATAGCTCATCGCTGAAGCCTACGCCAATAGCCAAGTTGGGAGACCGTTCGTTTGCTAGAGGTAGTTTCATTGTGGCGTAATGTGTACTCCGTGTCGAGTCCTTTAAATTTCATCTTTAGAGCTTTTCCTAGGACATGACCAGCTTGCATCGTCAATAGTCCATGATACATGCTCAATGCATTCCAAATGCGCTAGTTGCCGAACTGATCTGGGACATTCATATCAGTGATTTTAGCTTCATAATGATAGGTGGCTGTGGACACCATGTTCGACTCAGACTGGGAAGAATGCCTTTGATGGTGGCTTGCTGGTAAGTAGGCGCAATAAGCGCACTGGTAAACTCGTGCGAATATTATGTAAAAGCGTCAACTGTCTCTCTTTGCAGCCCCACTAAGTCTTTGTAATTTTCAAATTTCTCCCCTTATACTATTTGCGTGCTGCTACATAGCAAAGAACAACTATTATAAGTGAACCGGTGACCGTTGGCCATTCCCATCCTATTACTCGTCACCTACCCCATCAACGACAACCACAGTATATGTGCGTTGCTGTGGGTTGAAACCCATGCGTCCGACTTTCACTGGGTCTGCAGATCTGGGCACGCGGACAATTCAATCAATGTCAGCCTCCGAACATTGTCCCACCGTATATCACGTTGGTGAAACACGAAATCCCACAGTCCTCTTTATCAACAATCTACCTGTAAACGAGACAACATGCATGGCACCGCTCATGATCTTTGTCGTTTCATACACTGACTCCATCCACACATTGTCCTTTGATCCAGTACCATCGACAGGATCTCCAACTCTTAATCTTCTGGCCTGAACAATCGTCGGCCACCATCTGTCATGGATCACATCTCATCCGTCCGATAAATTCCTCATATATACAGGGCTCGAACAGGCAGATGGAGAGGTTGCCGCGATCAAGTATGGCTGGAGTGGAACCGTCGAAGAAGGAGAAGTGGTGGCCAGGGCCAAGAGTGGTGGTGCAGACCCTTGCAGCCTTCTTGTTGCAGAGGACGAGTTTATCATTCGAAATGTAAGTCCCCAAAAAGTCAGCTCTACCTATTCTAATGTTCCCTTTCTTGCATCCGCGTCGGCATCTAGTACACCTCGGGCACAATCATGACCCTTCCGATATCAACATTTGCCCCCTTACATACTCTTACCACACCCATGGACGCTTTCAATGCCGTTTGAGCTTGTAGGTCGGACAAAACTCGTCAATCTTCATCCCACCCCCATCAAATCATCCTCAATCCACTGAACCAAACGGAGCAAGAGCTCCTTGTCCCAGATTTAGGTACAGACAAGGTCTGGAGACTCACCAAACGGAATGATGGCAAGTTGTCCATTCGTGATCACATTGACTTTGAAGCACGGGGTGGCCCACGACATATCGCAGCTCGAGGTGTGTCACTAACCTCTACTCTTAAAACTTTGTTGATTATCATAACAGGAAATACCCTTTACACGCTACTGGAGCTCACCTCAAAGCTTGCTGTACATACCTTCCCGCTGCTTCCGGTGCCCCCTGCTCGTCTTACTTCTCTGTTCACACTTTCTGCATTACCAATACCGGATACCATGTTCGCAGTGGAAATTCTACTACCCGAACCCAATGCATCCTTCCCTGAAACATTCATCTACACACTGAACAGAAATGACCCTCATTCAGAGGGTTACTCGATTGCAATATTCTCTCTTGCTGCCGGAGAGGGTCAGCCAGAGCTTGTGAACGAAGTGCGTACAGGGCTAATTCATGTCCGGGGAATGGTGTTTGGAGGTGACGAAGATAAGTATCTGGTTGAAGGTGGTGTGGAAGGTGGCGAAGTGAAGGTATTTGAGAGGATTGATAGTGGCAAGGGACTCCAAGAAATTGCGAAGCTCGGTGAAGACGTTGTGGCCCGTTGGCCGTCCCACTGGCTTCTTGTGGCACCGAGAAGTCAAGATGTGAACTGGTGGACATACATCTGCTCGCCAGCTGGAGTGTAGCATTTATGGTGTCTGTCACACCGGGTCGAGGATACCAGTTGTGTAGTACGGCAAAACAGTACATGAACAGCTGAAATCCTGATGATATATGACACATTGATGTGACGAGGATGATTCGTAGAGAATGTGGAAATGTTTAAGCCAATACCACTGGGAATATCCTCACAGCTGGGGGATTTTCATGTGATCACAGCGAGATTTCATCGGAATCCGATATGGTGCGCGGAGATACTAAGGAAGAAGCTCGATTGAGAGAACCAGAGGGTCACTGAAACCGCCCTTCCGGCGCAAAACAGTCTGAAGGGGCGGTTTTAGGGATGTTCTCGAGAGAACTGTAGATTGGCATGTTCTATTATATAATTAAATATAGTCATATGTTGATAAAGTATGTCCGCTAGTATATAAGAAATGTGAAAACAATTGATTTTTCAATGAGTACTCTTACCGCATCTGAATCTCAAAGCGACATGTCGGCCAACACTCAGCTGGTTGTCAACACATTCGATCGTAGCGGATGTCTCATCGATTTCATCACCAATGGTAAGCACATCAAATAGATTATGCAATACTTACCTCTAATGTGGCTGTGCCAGTTTGCCTATATATGGTAGGCACGTTGTGGGATGACCTCAACGCGGCCCGGACCGACAGACCCAAGTTCGAGAAACTGATGAAACGTCTTCGAGCACGCTTAGTATACACAGCTAGCGGTGCCACAATCATGGCGGCCATTTTTGCACTCATCAGTGCAAACTGGCCACCATCTGTGGCACTTTGGATCAATGTAGTCCCAGCTGGTGCAATTATATTTATGGGGTTATATCTCGCCGCCTTTTGTATGTGCCTATATGCTTGTACGCTAATTTTTTTAATGCAATTCATATAGCTATCATCACCGGCCTCATCAACCAATACAAACTCGAACACCTCGTCTATGTGGGGCCTGGTAGTTTAAATGTACGTAATTTTAAATTCTTGTTATGGTAATGTTTAACGTAAGATTGATGCAGACTCTCAACACAAATGGCCAATTGCTCCTTTTTTTTTTGCAACAGTCTATTACCTACCTATGTTGTTGGCTCTCTTGTGCACTCCTCCTGGTCAGCTTTTACGCTGGCGTATGGTATTCATCTCCAGAATCACTTTCCTGGGAGTTAGCATCTACGATATGCATGGGTGTCACTACTCTACTATTCGTAGTATTTCATTTCACCTCACTTCTATAACCTCCTGCTTTTTGTTCACTCTACTGGGTTTCCGCATCTTCTCATCTTGTCCCAACTCCCCCAAGTAGCATCAGCAATAATTTACTTTAGCTCTTTCAGGCGGCCGCTCATCCGCATCCTTTCAACTCACATGCCAATGTTTTAGTTCGTTCCTACATCTTGAACCGCATGAAGGACATTGTTTCCTCCTACAACCATGTCTCCCTGAATTTCGACCTTTCTTCAAATGCATCTTGGGCTTCAGGACTCCTCTCCATGAACTCTTACGCAGTATATTATGATTCTGGCAATGTATTGCTCCAGGTCGAGGAGAGTGACGAGGAGTATCAAGAGTCAGGCGGGCTTTTGCTCAGTGCACACTGGGACTCTGTCAGTACCGCTCCTGGTGCCACAGATAATGGTATGGGCGTGGTGACGCTGTTGAGCATGGTGAAGTACTTTGCAGAGAACAGGCCCAGCCAGACGGTGGTGTTCAACATCAATAATGGCGAAGAGGACGGCTTGAATGGAACGCACGTGTACGCTGTAATTTTGCCTTTTGCCTTTGCTTTGCACTCACTCATCTCACTGCCAGTTTCATAGAGCATCTGTGGGTCAATACACTGATACCTTCTAGAACCTTGAAGGTGCTGCAGCAAGAGGGTAAACGGTTTAATCAAACTGTACCATATGACTTTACTGACTGAAATCTTGAAGACGGCCACTACTTTTCTGAACGACTTCTCGCGCTCCTCTGGCGTCCTGGAGCACTTCTCGTCCCCACGCAAACGTCATCACTGGCGATGCGTTTTCACATGGTGTTATCCAGGGCCAGGTGAAATTGACGTGGCCCTGCCGCACCTGCCGCGGTCGTGACGCGCCTGTGATGCGGCACTGATGCGGCATATGTGACGCGGCACTGTAACAAATTCCCATGTACAAATCATGTTTACACAACTTCATATTGCATTCCAAACACTTTGAATCATCATTAATGATCAACATATGAGTGTCTGCCTGCGTACAGGCTCTATAGTGCTGTATTCACCTCTCACCAAATTTACAGTGCTTGTCCTCTGCATTCATACTACTAGTATGCATCTTGCGCGTCAGTCCTATATTGTTGCATTACCTCTAATTCGTTCATCTATGTTGGTTTTCAGATGCAGTGTCAAATGTTGTCTCACTGTGTCAAGCTTCGACCTCACCCTGCCAAGTTTGATCCACTCTCCATACCCTGCACCAACACGTCGAGCCCCTACCATGGCATGTCAGAAGCCTTGTTTAGGCTGCGTCAAGCACTACTCACACCACAACAAGTTCTCCCAAATATCTTCGCAGTCTCTGTACTAATATCAACATCCACACTCTATGCCGCGTCAAGGCCTACTACAGTGCTGCATCAACCATAGCACATACCGCGTCAGTTGCCGCGTCACATGCGCATCAAGCAAGTTGTGCCGCGTCAAACCTCCTCCATGCTGCGTCAGTGCTGCGTCACAGGCGCATCATGCCGCGTCAAACCTCATCACTGCCGCGTCACACCGCGTCAAACTTCATTCATGCCGCGTCACAAGTAGCAGATGCCGCGTCAAACCTCACCACCTCAACTGTCACACTGTCCGTATAACTTAGGTATATTTTACTTTACGTCTGTCATAATAATTGATATTCTAACAGTGTTCCTTTTCATCCTGACAGAATTAGACGTCGTACACTGTAATTGTCCATAGGCAGTAATAAATTTATTTTACTAAGCATTCTTCCGTTGTCTCCTCTGGGCTCGAGAAGAAACCCTTATTATCGCGCTTTTGTAAATCGTATCATGGCCTTTGTGAGTTCTTTAAAATACGGAGTAAACTTGTTATAACCATCTTTTAGGAATTAATCAAACATATATTCAACTTTTTCTATCCCAACGAGACAGAGAATCAAAATTATCCAGATCGGCCAGGTCCGCTGCTGAGTTTTGGGGACCTCATACCCTGCTATGACCGTTCAGGTGCATCATCCGACATATTCTCCTTGTGAACTCAGATTTGACAAATAGAAACGTCGATGTGCTCCACAGGCTCGAAGGGTCCAGAGAGGGAGGAAAAGAAAATAGTCATTGGCTTATGTATACCTAGTTGTACATGGCTCTGAGGCAAATAAAGTAACAAAAGAATGGTTGTGAACTCATCCAACTTGATCTGGAAGTTGAATATAGAATATAGAAATGGCGCGTCAGTTGTCGGAAATTTCTAGCGAGCATCCGAAGCCAATTTAAGACATTTTAAGGCACTTTTCACACGGGACCCTTGTAAGGCATGCTAATGATCTACAAAAATATTTCAAGGCACTTATAATTACTGTACCAATCATTACAAGGCACGTTAATGGTCCCGGGAGCATGTGATGAACCCAACATTGTAAGGACATAAAATGACGCTCTGAGTATTTCAAGGTCATTCCAAGCTTGTTGTGTCCGTCTCAATGTTATTTCCAGAAATTCTCAATATAATATATATAAAAATGATAATAATAATAATATTGGTATTGAAAACACTAATATTACAATGGACTACATCGTCGATGCCTTGACAAAATTGTCGAGCGGGATTCTGAGTTGTCTGAATCAGATATATTAGCTGAAATTCTGAATCAGAGTCAAATTTTAGACTTACTTAGATATAGACGGTGACATGAATCAAGGGTTGCAGCAGAGAGCCGAAGAAGCTGATCAACTAGGAGATGGGTACTGTGCGACTTGCCTGAGCCGGTGGTGGCTCTAGTGATGATGGGCTGGGGCTGGTTCCGCCTGACACATGAGGAGGTGCATTTGCGCGATTGCATCGTCGTTGGGGTACACCGTTGCAGAGGATGACGAGGAAATGAGGTGGCCAGTAAGGGAACTGCTACAGTGGTGAATGGCATATTCTGGAAAGCTTGTGAGATACACAGGTGAAATGTTTGGAAAGACTCACCGTGTTGACATAGAGTCTAGGATCTACAGGGACATAGGCACTCAATTTCGAACTTGGCACCGAACATGAATACTAGGGACACAGAAAGAGAGAAACGACCTACTATATTGACAACACTTGACCCATCACTCCATATGGTGTGGAATGTTTCTTGTATCCAGCAGTGATATATGCTTCTCTTGTAATGAGAGGCGCGGCCTGTAGTTCGTGGTCCTTACTGAGTTGACAGCGTGGTTGGCAAGTGAGCCGGAGGCCATTGCTGACCTTCAAACGAATGACAAAGGGACTGAAAATGAAAGGAGAGGAGCGCGTTGAACGAGGTGTCAAGAGGAGCGCGTTAAATGAGGTGTCGAGAGGAGCGCATTAAACGAGGTGCCGAGAGGAGTGCGTTGAACGATTCAGAGAGTGTCAATGATGGTGAAGGTTTGAAATTAAAGAAGACAAGTAACTTGAAAGTCGTGTCCAGAACTAAACTTGTCTTGTTTGGCCTTGTATTTATCCTTCCAAAATTGGAAGGACTCATTGTAAATGTTCAAGGGCTTGATACTACTATACATCAGTTAGATTCTGAATCAACTCAATTACTTTCGGTGCATTTGTACATGACGTGACACGACGAACAGCTGGATTACGAGCGAGAAAAATGCAGTACAAGCATGGAATCAATATTTCGTAGATTACTTAGTCTTTCCCACAGCCTTCTTAACTCTGTTGCCACTGTTGCATGTGACACGCTTGACCGCTGGAGGAGGGGCCAATGGGACGATTGGGGACATATCTGAGTCCACTGCAGATTGAGCTTTCTGAGTGGCGCCGGTGTGACATTTGTGAGTAGTTGCTGCAGGCGCTCTGCAACTCTTGGATGCAGATGGCTCAGCGCTGTCCTTGAGTGACAGCTGGCCGATGTCAACCTGCAGCTGAGTGTCGATGATGGCAGAGGCAGAGGCGACACCTCCCTGACTAATGGTCGTTGCAGTAAAATGGTAGTTGGAGACCACATCAGTATGACTCCTAGTGACAGGCGCGGAAACATAGGTGAGTTGTGAGGAAATAGGTGTCGCGACGGGAAGAGATAGTGCGGGAGTGGGAGCGGGTGGTGGTGGGTGAGCGGGTGTTTCTGAATCTAACTGCTGTAGGAAGTCATCCTCCCAACTGTGAGAATGAGAGATGGAGGGCACTGTGGCCGATGCGCTAGGCTCCAAACTCGTTCCAAATACCTCCCTGTTGTAGTAGTCCATAACACTGATTGCCCACGAGCTGCGTTTGAACAACCATTCAAGATAGAAATCGAAGTCTTGCTGGTACTCTATTTTTGTAGCTGGTCCAATTGCTGTAAGTTCATGATCGTGCGACAATAAGAAACGCGCCTGAGGATGGTCTAGGGTGAGCAAACATGAAAGCAATTCGGAGTATGATAGTGCACACACCAAGATTGCAGCACCCGCAATCATACCTTCTGTTACGCACTGCGTGGCCCAGCGCTGACCTCTAGCCTTGGGATGTCCCTTGGTCTTCCCAGACAGGACGGCCTTCCCAAACATTTTGACACGAATAATCTATATAAACTAAGTCAGTGCCTGTATGCTAAACTTATTGAGACTTACTTTGACAAGGATGGGCGACATGAGAAAGTCATCGGGGATGATTGCGCTGGGGTCCTTGAATAATATGGGCGCTAGATGTGTATACTCCCCTTCTCCATTTTTCTTGATAAGCGTAAGGAGTTGCATGTTCTCTTTCTTTTTAGAAGGCTCGTCGGTGAATGTGGTAGGATCAAGCTTCAGATTGGAAAAGATTGAACCTGCACAGTCCTTGATGACGTGCAGGATGTTGGATCTTTCAGAGCTAACTGCGGCACGAAACTAATATAATAAGTGTCCATATCAACCATAATATAGTACAATATGACTTACCAACGGTCCGAACTGTGTGTAAGTTTACATTGCCTTGTTCAAAGTCTTAGGCACGCAGAGATACAGCTCAGCCATGGCACCTTTGAGCTTCGCATCAGGTGAGGACCAGCATGTATTGCTGCGTGGATCAACATTTGGCTGGGGGGTTGTTGGAAAGAGACCGTTCATGACCCAAAAATAGTTGAACATTGCGTACATCTTGCCTGCACGGCTGATGCTGCTATCGACAGTAGATGTCTTCTTAAGCACTCGGTTACGGCTGTGGGGAGGAATGGCAGCCTGGAGTGCAGTGTAGTCTTTCTCGAGAACCCGTAGCTCAGATCGTACTGCAGTGTATGCGCATTGCGCGACTTCGAGAGCCTGTTGATGAAATATGTATGGTAATATTACTATGTCAGACGAGTCATGCGAGTGACAACAGCACATGTAGACTGACCTTGCGAACTTCGTGCATAGGTGCATCTGGCTGAGGAACGTTCAATATTGACCTCAAGGTCCCAAGATCGCTGCCTGCATCAGATTCGGACTCGCTGTCTTGTTCGTCGTTAGATTCAGAGTCCATGTCCTCCACAGCATCAAGTGCTGCTGTGAAGTCATCGGAGTCTTCAGCCAGTGAGGGCATGACTATGAATTGAGATACGAGTGTTGATAAGGCTGAGCGAACGAGAATGTTGGACAAAACATGACACTTGCCTGAACCCTACATTATATAAGGTGACTCCGCAGCATTTTTCCGAGCATGCCATCAACACGCTGCATATCTAGCTCAGCCTTGATGACGTCGAGGTGTAATTGAACCTGCAGGTAGTTTAGTACTGTCTTAGGTACTGATGACCAATCTGAATAAAACTCACCTTGATGAGACACGAGAGCAGTATCAATGTCGCTATTATGACATTTGATAGTAAAATTTCAAACCCTGTCATGAATATGTTATCTAACTCATGAAAACAACATGAGGTGTCAAGACGTACTTTACAGTGTGGCGGCAGCATTGCATTACGTTTAACTTCCATAGCTGTTAATCTACAAAGTGCACATGTTAGCACACCCTTCCGGTAAGGATAACAAACATCTTGCCTTGTAAAGTTCAAGACACACCAAACTGATGACGAGCGCGGTGGTGGTAGCGATGGCAGGAACGAGTTTTCCTGCTATCTGCTTGGTGGTATGATGATCAGCGACAGTAATAATGTTATAGTCCTTCGCATGAAGGTTTGATGCAGTGGTACCGTGATGAGATTGATGTGATGGTTAGTGTTACCGTCCTTAGGTTTCTCATACTCAGCAGAGTGAGGTGGTGTTTGTGAGAACAGGGTCGAGTTTATTAAGTTCTGTTAGGCGCGCTATGCACATTGCATACTAATAGGAAAGTGAGAGAAAGATGTAAATATACAATGGATTCTTGGTAGGGATGCAATGATCACCATCATCGTGCCCATGTCTTCATGCGTATAAACATATCACTATCAATGTGATCGACAACAATGAACTTGTCTTGATGTGCAGGATCAGGGTATAAAAGAGCACCGTGGATGAAAGAACAAAGCAGAACAAATATAGAACTTGCTCTTGAGACAGCTTTGATGCAAGTGAGCCGGAAATCACGATCAATCCTGCGAGGAGCCCCAATGACACCAGCAGTAAATGGCTGAACTAGTGCCAACTCAAAGGAGCCAACATCCGGTAGCTGACATTTGAACATAAAAATGAGTTGAACAAAAACGGATGTGTCCTGTGTAAGTTGCATAAGTGCGCAGTCATAGCATGGGTGTCCGTGAAAGTGAGGATTGCATTGAAGGTAGTTGGTCGTTTGTCTCCAGTCAACACTAGACTTGTAGTTCACCTTAAGATACCGATGTTCTTGAATCTGAAATGCATAAATCAGCGAGAGAGAGCAAGTAAAATGATATCAGCACACCTGGAAATTGGCAGGTATGGAAAGCCATCTTTCCAGATGATGTCCGTACCCAGGCAATGAAGTGTTAATGAAATCGGAAAACTTGCGACGAAAGCCTTGAAATGCATGATCCCTTTGGCCATGGCTATTCTCAATGTCCTGGATTGATACAGGCTGTTGTGGCGAACCCAGTTTGACGTGTCCCTCGAAGGTAGCTGATCTTGCTTTGGTTTCGTCGGCTTCGGCTTCATCGTCTGGCAAGCTACGTTGTTCATCGAGCGTGTCCACGCGCATTCTCAACAATTTGACTGGCATATTTGCGTTGATCGATGTGCAGTATCTATTATTATAATGAAAACAATTGTCCCTACGTGAGCAACAGATATCAGGTATCATAACATCAAAACAAACCTGGTCAGCGACTTCCTTTCCATTCGATTGGCGCTCATAGGCCTCTTTCAGAGGACCGTGAAGCTTCTCGTTCGGACGAGTACTGTAGTTACGTGTCGCACCCTTCATTCGGATGTCCCGGGTCACATGCTTCCAAAGATGAGTCTTTGGAAAGTCCCAATCGAGTTTGAGATCTTCAATAGGGGACGTCGACACACATTCAACATAGTCCTGGAACGAGCAATTGATGATGTAGTTAATTATTGATGGAACTGAAAAACACCTGGCTTACCTTAAGTGTGGTATTGAAAACAAGTAGTTCGGCATCGAGCGCCGCTAGCGTGCTTGTTGTTTGCACATCGAGACCAATGTAGCTATCCAATTGCAGATAGCTACTGATAACACAGAGGAGTTGATATCCTTCTGGGCTAGCTCTGTGGGTCAATATGTTCAATGCCGAATAAAGGGTTTGCTGTGGGTCAGTTATTAGTATAGGTATTGAAAAACGCAAAGTTATCTACTTTAGACAGGTCTTGCATCTTGTTGCCGTCACTGAATGTGATGTGGATGACAGTACTGAAATGGTTGAAATTGCGCCATCGAGGGAATTTAGCAACCCTACCAGTATACGATTAGGAACTAAGTGACATGAATCAACGATATGAGTGACTCACTGATCCTCGAGCTTTGCCTCCTGCAGAACGTCCGAGTGACTTGAGGATCTTCTTCAACTCCTCAAGTAGGTGTTTCCACATGCCAATATGAAGGGAATGTAGGCAGTCAAAGCTGATGGCTTCATGAGGGTCAGAGTAGGCAATGCGCCAGAATACATTCTAGTGGAGAGTAAACAAGAATCAGTATTCATATCAGGAAGTGTATGAAGGAACAGAACATGACTGAAAGTTCAGGCGCAGCAGGGAATAAGAAATACAAAGGATGTAGAGATACTGAGCAAACGAGTAAACGAGAGATGCCGCAGAGGGCTGGTTTGCCATGCCAGGCGCAGGAAGGAAGATCAAACGAGTAGACAAGAGATGCCACAGAGGTGGCCATGCCAGGCGCAGGAAGGAGATCAAATGAGTAGATGAGAGATGCCACAGAGGGCTGGTTGGCCATGCCAGGCGCAGGAAGGAAGATCAAACGAGTAGACGAGAGATGCCAGAGGGCTGGTTGGTCATGCCAGGTGCAGCAAGGAAAGATGAAGGAGAATCAAATGAGTAAACGAGAGATGCCACAGAGGGCTGGTTGGCCATGCCAGGCACAGCAGGGAATAAGGGTGATCAAATGAGTAGACGAGAGATGCCACAGAGGGCTGGTTGGCCATGCCAGGCGCAGCAAGGAAGATCAAACGAGTAGACGAGAGATGCCACAGAGGTGGCCATGCCAGGCGCAGGAAGGAGATCAAATGAGTAGATGAGAGATGCCAGAGGGCTGGTTGGTCATGCCAGGCGCAGCAAGGAAAGATGAAGGAAGATCAAATGAGTAGACGAGAGATGCCGCAGAGGGCTGGTTGGCCATGCCAGGTGCAGAAAGGAAGATCAAACGAGTAGACGAGAGATGCCACAGAGGTGGCCATGCCAGGCGCAGGAAGGAGATCAAATGAGTAGACGAGAGATGCCAGAGGGCTGGTTGGTCATGCCAGGCGCAGCAAGGAAAAATGAAGGAGAGTCAAACAAGTAAACAAGAGATGCCGCAGAGGGCTGGTTGGCCATGCCAGGTGCAGCAGGGAATAATGAAATATGTAGGAGATACCGATCAACAGTGCGAACCAGTAAAATAGTAAAACATAATTATGAAGAGGGGAGACAAGAGAATAACTAAGACTGTAGCTTACCGCAACGGCACATAAGCCTAACACCTTGAGAAGTGCTTCGCCCCGACCTTTGCTGATCTTGTAAGTATTGAGTGCATCTATTGTGTCTTGCATTGATCTAAGCGCAAATGTCTTGGATAGATCGTGAAGTTTCTCAAGCAGCACAACGCATACAGGACAAGGACATTTGCAATTTTGACCACGGATGAGCGACATCATACATCTACAAACAATATATGAGATGTCTGGACCAGGCTTGTGTATATTAGTATGGAGAAAACTAAAACATACTGCTCTTCATAATCAGCCGAAAGTATCAGCAGAATAGGAAACAGCCAGCGTATAATCATGTCGAAGCATTGATGCGCATAACCGGTCTTCGAGTATTGCACAACAAGTTCCAAGAGCTTCAAGAATGATTCGTGCCATACGACGCGCTTGAAGCTCACAAACCCCATTTTGCCTTCTTCATCTGCTTCTTCGGAGACCTGCAATAGTTCCATCAAATTCATGATAATTAAAAAGTTGTCAGTATTAACGTACAATAGGCAACCACCCAACAATGCGACCGCCGCCAATGCCCTCACCATGTTGTATGCCTACCGGCAAGTTTGCGCATCGTACCACGACAGGATATGCCTTGACCGTACCATGCGATGACAGTCTTGTCTTGTCTGCATACAAGATGAAACAAAATGGGGCCGCTTTAAGGCCAGGTGGAAGGCGAGACTGATGTAATAAAAGTGATGTCAGTGTATGCAGACAATTCAGATATGAAACAAAGTACTTGGACATCCCACCATCGATCACCCATCCAGGGCTCATTGTAGAAACGCTCGAACTCTGTTCCGTTATGTTTGTATAGGCGTTGTGCATCCCAAACAAAATGCGGAGCAAGCACCAGGTTGCCTAGTAAATCGAGCGCCCACTCCCAAAGAGGTAACACATGGGTCTCATAAACTCATTCTTCTCGTTTATATGGGACAGTGATGTTGTGTTTTGTAAACTAAACGAATCTATAATATATTTTGCGAGATTAATCAGTGACATACCGGCGCCACCTGATCAGTCGCATGCTCCCAAGCCTTGCGGAGATCTGTATCAGTCTTGAGTGTCATCTGGGTCTCCCCTCTCGAGATGCGACCAATGAGAGCAAGGAGCCCGTTGATATGAGATTTGTTGAGTGCAGCGTCCAGTGCAATTTCAGCAAACTCGAAGTCAGCGCGTGAACAAAAGGGATGCTAGGGTGTTTTATCGACAGGAAGTTGTTCTTCAGGGTGGGCATTAATGCCAAATTCGTCGAAAGCTTGATGGAGGGGCTCGCGACCGGAAGAAGGGTGGAATTCCATTCTGAATTCTAGGGGCCGTTGAGCAGACATTGCAGGCAGAGGTTCAGCAGAGCCTGATGGGCTATTAACTATGCAGAAAGATTGGTCAGTAATATAAACAAATCAATTACATGCTTACCTGGGTCATGTTGATATTCAACATCGTCATTGCTCTCGTTGTATTTCCTTTTACGTTTGTCATCTTCCTCTTTTGTCATTGATATTCCGGACTCTATACAGTACTTTGTAAACCTCTTCGTTTTCGTCCTTCGTACCTCAGCAGTTCTTCTACCACACGCTGAGGTACGTATCTTAATGTTTTCATGCTGACTTTCTCTCATTGTATTCTGTCCATATATTGTCTTCTAGGTATTATGAATAGCAGCGGTTCTTCTACCACACGCTGAGATTGTCTTCTAGTTTGACATCTAACAGGTTATGAGCCCTGGCTCCTACAGAGCCCTCAACCGAACCTACTAGACAAAGCTTCTGTGCTTGCTCACCGCTCACTCATTCACTTCTCGCTTCATCATTCCTCACGACGGTATCGTCATGGGAAAATTTGATCATATCCCCGAACTGCTAGGATCGGAGAACTACGTCGGGTGGTCCACCAAGATGCAGTACGCCCTCGCCTGTGAGGACCTGTGGTGTCACATAAATACGGTCGTAAATCCTGCAGACCTCCTCGGGACCCCGTCCATGTTGCCAACGCCCGCCGACCCAGCCAATGTCACGGCTGCTGAAACAGCAGCAATGTGTGCATGGCTGCTAAACGACATAAAAGCAAAGGACCTCATCACACATCGCCTCAGTCCGTCAGTCGGGGCATTAGTATCACGATCACATGCTGTTTCGGCTCGAAAGGCATGGCAGACGCTTGCTGAGCATTTTAACAGAACCGACACGAGTGCGCAATACCAGCTGCGTCAACGTCTTGACGCCCTTCGAATGAAGGATTCGGCAGACACGACGAATTACGTCGGGCAGCATGCTGTCCTCCGTGAACGTCTTCACGATTCAGGAGCTCCTCTAAGAGACAGCAACACCATTTACAGCCTGCTCATAGGTTTACCACAGACTGCCATGTGGCAGCAATTCAAGGCTATGTTGGAGCAGCGGATGCACGATGAGATAATGACTGCCACAGCGACTAATCCTCCCACCTTTACCGTTGAGAGTTGTGTCTCGCAGATCACAGCAGAGGCCGCACGGCACGTTCACACTCGTGCTATCCACTCCGCATGTCCTGGCTCTGAGTATGCTAATGCAGCCACGGCACCTAACGTTAATACATCCGGCATCAACCCCATCACTGGTTTGTGCAAGCATAGGCACAACCCTGACGGAGCATTTTGCACCACTCCCGGGTGCAACAAAGGTGACCATGACCACGATCATTGCTACGGTAAAGGAGGTGGGATGGAAGGTCAGGTGCCGTGGATGCGGGCTAAGAAGAAGGAGCATACGAAGGAAACAGCTGCTGCTGCCATCTCGACTCCTCCTGTACTCGCCCCGCCAGTCCCAGCAGTGGCCGCAGCCATTATCCCTGCCGCTCTTACCAGTCTCTACGACGACGTCTCCTTCGCGTCCATTACAGCACTCACTGATGACGCCTCTTGTGCCATTTCTCTGCCTTTCGCCACGATCCTAGACTCGGGCACTATAGTGACCCTGGTAAAGGATCGCAGTTTCTTCCATACGTATTCCACTGCTGAGTCTGTGCCAGTGCACACGGCAAATCACGGCATCCTGGAGATAACAGGATGCAGGACATGTGTGGGATGGCTTACCATCAGGAAACATTGTCTCCGGCTCCGGCTGTCGAATTGCTTGCATGCTCCGAACACCATGCTTAATTTGCTCTCTGTGAGTTGCATGAACACTAAAGGGTGGGATGTCAGTTTCAGATCCAACATGACGTGTGAACTCGCTCATAAGGGGAATCATCTCGGCGCAATCCCTGCCACGGGTAAACTTTACGCCATAGACCTTGACTTCATCCCTTTCACTTCACCTTCGACAGCTCTCATCCGTGAACCGGAGATATCAGCGTTTGCGCACGTTCCCCTCACGTTGGACTTATGGCATGCGCAGATAGGCCATATAGGCAGAAACGCCGTCATTCACCTGGAGCGCACCGCCAAGGGAGTCATTGTAGAATCTACTAAACCTCTCTCCCACTGTGAGTCTTGCATCGTCGCTAAACATCCCCACCAGCCTTTCCACACGTCCGAAACTGGACGCGCATCCAACTTCCTCGACCTTGTTCACTCAGACGTCTGCGGACCGATTCAGCCGGTCACGCCTCACGGAAAACATTATTTTATCATCTTTCTCGATGACAGCACTCACGCGCTCGACTTGCAGTTGCTGGCAACGAAGGATCAGGCGTTAACTGCATGGCGCATGGTACGTGCACGCTGGGAGAATTTGTCTGGCTCTCGTGTCAAAACCTTCCGCTCAGACAATGGGGGTGAGTTTATGAGTGACGCCTTCACAGCAGACCTCGAACATGCTGGAATCACACATCAACGCTCTGCACCTTACGCTCATCAACAAAATGGGAAGGCGGAGCGCGTGATGCGCACAATCGAAGGTCGCATGTACGCCATGTGTTACGCACTCAAATAGATCTGTTATGCGGAGCCCTAAGAGGGGCGTCGTCCGCTAACGTTCGTGACGTAACCGGAAGGGTCCGGTGTAGCGACTGAGACTGGCGACGTCGAGTCGGCAGATATCAGAGACGCGCGTGTCACGTGACTTCTAAGACGGATGTCTTCAAAGTCACTGACGTTCTCAAAGTAAGGACAGTCTTGTCCGAACGATGAGGTGGTCGATCGAGGTAGACTTAGGCGCGATGAGCACCTAAGAAAAGATACTAGAGACTGAAGCTGAGGGGGCTTCAGAGGGAAGTATGTTCGAGGGAAGATTGAGTAGATTCAAGTTAGGGAATCTAGTACAGAGTGACCGACTACTTATACTAAGTGGAAAGGGTTAAGGGCAAGGCTACCGTACTGTAGGTAAGGGCAAAGGGGAAACGGAAAGGGTATAGGTACGATGGTGGCAGAGCCTGATTAGTGATGTAAGGTCGAATGCGGAATGAGACCGAGAAACGTTGGAACGAGCCAACGGTAAATGATACAATGTGCAGCATGCACGAGTCAAAGGAAAGATAAGACAAGATAAGGAAAGCCACATTGGTGGCACGAGTCAGAACGAGTCATAGCCCGAAGGCACGTGCGCACGTTGGTGCGATGGGAGGGGGAGGCGAGGGACGGGAATGGTCCCGAGGATCCGGTCAACGGATAGTCGGTAGAGAAGTACGAGCCGGAGGCATACGAGGGCGAGGACGAAGGGGAAAAATGATAGGGGGGCCATGTAGCCGATGTTACTTGTAACATTACCCCCGTTTCAAGGTAGAGTTCCACAAACTCTTTTTAATCGTCGTCCAGAGGAACGTAGTTGTCCTGGTTGTTATACCATGCGGGGTCGAAGTCGAGGTCTTCGAGCCAGGAGGCGGCTTCGATTGCATTCTCTTCGTGTTCTTGCTCAAGGCGAGCAGCGTCTTGGTCATACGCAGCTTCGAGCTGCTGCATGTCCCTGTAGAACCGGTCGGAAGAGGTTCCACGGCGAAGGATCTTTCTGCCGTCGAGTCGAGGGCAGAAGGGAGTGAGATGTTTTGGGGCAAATTGCCCACAAATGCGGCAGAAGTATTGCGCGCAGTGTTTCTGTTTGTGTCCGTAGACACGGCACTGGCGGCAGACAACGTTGCTGCGGTAGACCTGGGTGGTCTCGGTGGCATCACGACGCGCGTCGTTGATGGCGTCTTCCTGGGCTTCCTCGCGAGGATAGTGTCTAGTGAAGTTCTGGGTGCGCGGTCGATGCGCATGGGAGAGGGGTAGTCCTAGGGACAAGATGGATCGTGCACGAGCACGGTGATTTCGGCGTTGCGGAGTGGGAAGGGGTTCCGGAGAACCAATAGAGAGGTGTGGGACCGTCTCGGTGGGTACCCAATCGTCGGGGTTGAGAACAGGTGATGCGAGAGGGCATTCATCCAACTCTGGGATGATGATAGAGATGGTGTCGGCATCGAGAATGGGGGAGGGGTTACGTGGAGCGTAGAGCTCGCGTTCGTATTCGTTATAGAGACGGTCGATCTCGGGGTTGGTCAACTGGGTGACGTTGGGGATCTGCTCTGGTGATTCAGAGCGGGGTAGTTGGGGAAGGAAGGGGGTCGGAGCTCTGTCATAGACAGCACGCTCGATGACTGCAAGGGGGTCGGGAGGGGGATTAAATGCCCGCTCCTCCTCGACGGCCATGACGGCGGCATGGAAGTTCCTAAGTTCAAATAGATTTAGCAAGGCTCGTTTGATCTTGCCTTGGTTGTATCTGGTTGAGACGGTGGATAGGGAAGTCTCCCTAGCCAGGTCAATCCTGGCGATGTCGCCGGTGAGGGCATCGGTGGCCCTGAAGGCTTGAACGAGGTTCATGGTTATGTCGTCGTTGGTGCGGTTGAGATAGTTGTCGAGTCGGATTGCATACTGGGGATCGCAGATGACTGCTTCCCAGTAGGCCCGTTGCCTGTCTTGGACAACTGAGCGAAGGGATGGTCGTCGGAAGACGGTGTAGGAGGGCCTGTCATGGCCATGCGTTGGCTGGCTCATCGGGTCGGGGTCGGAGGCAGACGCATGAGAGGTAGCGGATCGGTGCGAGGAAACAGACGACGCTGAGGCCGACATAGTGGAGCGTCTTTCCTTGGGTAGTGGCGTAGGTGGGGTATTGGGTAGTGGGTCTCTGTTTGTCGACGGGTGTGGATTTCGTGGGGCGGTGGCGATTGCGGATTCGTTGGCGATGGAAGGCTTTGGTATCAGTGTGGATGGGTTCGCTGGTGGGGTCAGCCCTAGTGTAGTGAGGGCGGTAGGAGAAGTTGCGGTGGCGGTTGTTGATCAACATGAGATGGCGATTGAAGCGATCTTGAGTCGCTTCTTATACGCCTTCAGGAGCTCCGCTGCGGACTTCAATTCTGTTTCGGGGAGCCACGTTCGTTCGGAGGCAGGATAGCCAACCCAAGACACGAGGTACCGGCGACGCGATCCGGTACCCTTGTGTTGGAGGATAGCTTCCACTTCGTAGTGTTCCTCTCCATCGATAAGATCAGGAGGAGGT